TGTTAGGATACAGACAAAGTCTTACATCAGATAAAACAAGAGATTGACATGAGTTTATATACACATAAGATACATCTACACTTATAAGATATTGTTTTTAGTACCACTCCAAAAGGCTTCTTACCAATGAAGATATCTTATATGTATATAAATCAATGTACATATCTTATTTTATCTTATGTGAGACTTTGTTTGTATTGTAATAATCCTCTCCCTCAAACAAAGGACTATGGTTCTCCACCTCCCCTACAAAGAAATTTTTTTTATCCATGAGTATATTATGGTATGCACTGACTGAGCATCTTTTTCTTTCTTTTACTACCCATGGTTACACCACTGAGCATCTCTTGCTCTCCACCTTCCATGATTCATCTAGTTGTCTGCCACCAATCACCTATCAAGGTTTCACCTTACCATGAAGGGACATACTCGTATGAGCTGGTCCCCAAGACTAACCAGACTTTGATACCAATTGTTGGGTGAAGGTAACTCAATTACTCATCCTATTAGCTAATTTAATACAATTATTATGCATTTAACATAAGTGGAGATAACTTTTGATGATGAGGTGAAAGCATTAATTTTACTACCATCTCTTCTGGAAAGTTGGGGTGTAACCGTTATCGTAATTAGTAATTCTGCAAGCAATAACAAGTTGAAGTTTGATAACATTTGTGACTTGATTTTAAGCTAATATGTTCATAGGAGAAGTTTAGTGGAATCTTCCAATTCTAATTTTGGTTCAACATTAAGTATTGAATATAGAGGAAGAAATAGCCAGAAGGGTCGTAATCAAGGCAGAGATAGATCAAAGTCTAGAGGGAGACCACAAACGAAAGTATGGAATGATATCACTTGTTGGAATTGTCAGAGAAAGTGTCATTTTACAAATCAATGTTGGGCTTCAAGGAAGAATAACAACAAAAAGAAGCAAGATGATGATCAATCAACAAATGCAGTAGTAGATGAAATTGCATATGCCTTATTATGTAGTTTAGATAGTTCCATTGACTCATGGATTATGGACTCAGGTGGGCCATTTAATATTATACCTTCCTTAGAACTATTATTTAACTATGTTTATGGAATGTTTGGGAAGGTTTACCTTGCAGATGGAAAATCTCTTGATATTGTAGGAAGAAGTGATATTAATATCAGAACCTCTAATGGAAGTTTGTGGACTTTGAATAATGTCAGACATATTTCTGTCTTAAAAAGAAACTTAATATCTATAGGGCAATTGGATGATGACGGAAATTACACCACTTTTGGAGATGGACATTGGAAGGTAGTGAAAGGCAATCTTGTTGTTGCTCGTGGAAAGAAACAAGGATCTTTGTACATGATAGCAGATGAGGGTACAATATCAGTTGTAGAAGTTGGTAACAGTTGCTCTCTGTGGCATCAAAGGCTTGGGCATGTGAGTGAGAAAGGAATGAAACTCATGATCTCAAAAAGTAAAATACCTAACTTGAAGCATGCTGATGTTGGGCCTTGTGAACATTGTATCTTTGGAAAGTAGAAAAAATGTTAGTGTCTCCAAAACAAGAAAGACATCTAAAGTTGAAAGGCTAAAATTGGTGCATACAGATGTTTGAGGGTTAGCTTCAATGAAATCCCTTGGTGATTCACTATATTATGTAACCTTCATTGATGATTTTACAAGAAAGGTATGGGTATACTTTTTTAAGAATAAGTCTGATTTGTTTTCTGTGTTTAAAAGGTGGAAATTGGAGGTTGAGACTCAAACAAGTTTAAAAGTTAAAATTTGAAGTCTGATAATGGTGAAGAATATGATAGCAGTGAATTCAAGGAGTTTTATTCAGAGAATGAGATCATAATGATCAAGATAGTTCCAGGAACACCAGAACAAAATGATGTTGCAAAGGGAATGAACAAAACTCTAAATGAGGGAGAAAGATGTATGAGGATCCAGTCAGGACTAGCCAAGGTATTTTGGGCAGATGCAATAAACACAACAACCTATCTTATCAATAGAGGACCATTAGTTCCTTTAGATTATAAGTTACCTAAAGAAGTGTGGTTTAGAAATGAGGTAAGTCTTTCACACTTGAAATTCTTTGGTTGTGCTTCATATATTTTATTGGACTCTAATAGCAAAGATAAACTGGACCCTAAGGCAAAAAGATGTTATTTCATTGGCTATGGATCTGACACATATGACTACAGATTTTAGGATGACCAAAATAAGAAAATTATCAGAAGTAGAAATGCTACTTTTAATGAGAACATGTTCTACAAAGACAGGACTGTAGAATTGGTAAATGTATCACCAGAGAAAGTATCATTAGAAGAAATTTCAGAGAGTGATGTAATCAACAAAAGGCAAAATAAAGAGGTAGAGCCTAAATCAGAACCAGAAGACATAGTAGAGTCAGAAACTTCTGAAGTCATGATTAGAAGGTCTAGCAAAACAATTTTAGCACCACAAAGGTATTCTCCTTCATTACATTGCTTGTTGTTGACTGATGTTGGTGAGCTAGAACATTTTGCTGAGGCTATGCACAAAGATGAATATATTAAGTGGGAGCTAGCAATGAAAGATCAGTTAAAGTCTCTTTAGAAGAATAAAACATGATCTTTAACCAAGCTATCAGAAGGAAAAAAGGTTTTGAGAAACAGGTGGGTCTATAGGTTAAAAGAAGAACCAGACGATAATAGAAGATATAAGGCTAGACTCATAATGAAAGGTTTCCAACAAAAGCAGGGTATTGACTTCACAGAAATTTTCTCTCCTACTGTCAAGATGACTACCATCAAAGTTATCTTGAGTATAGTAGCTGTAGAAAATCTTCAACTAGAGTAGTTAAATGTCAAAATTGCATTCCTAAATAAGGATCTCGAGGAGGAAATCTTTATGGCACAACCAGAAGGTTTTGAAGCAGAAGGTTAGGAAAATCTTCTATGCAAGCTTCATAAAAGCTTGTATGGATTGGAACAAGACCAAAGCAATGGTATAAGAAGTTTAATGAGTTTATGAGAAACTCGGGTTTTCACAGATGTGAAGAAGATCATTATTGTTATGCTAAAAAATATGTTGACTCTCCTTACAATTGGTATTAGAGAATCCAACTGATATGTTAACCAAGATTGTCACAACAAATAAGTTGAGACTTTGTATTGTCTTAATAGGCCTTTAAGAGTAACTGATGATGAAAGCAACTACACTAGGTAATAATGTAAATCAAGCTCCAAGTAGGAAAATTATTAGTATTGTGGAGCTTAATTTAGCCTCACATCACTTAATATTGTGAGATGTTGTTCTCTATTTAACTATATAAGCAACTTTCTGTAAAGATTGAAAGATACACCAAACATAAATATACCTCCTAGTGTAGTCGTGGCATTTGTATATTGAACCACATTAAATTATTGTCTCCTTTATTTCTCTTTTATTGTCTTGTTCCTAACAACTGTATCAGAGTCGATGGTTCAGGTCTTATGATCAGGCTTAAATGAGTACAATGATCATTGTATCGAAAGTCTACCTGGCAAAGGATTCTAGGTAAGCATGTCCCATTAAGATGAACGACGGTATGAAAAAGGGTACTCAAATGCTTCCGCTGGAGGGGAAGTGTATCAATGTGGAAGAGACCCACCCTTGAAGGGAGAGATTGTTATAATTCTAAGTGTGAGTCTAAGTCTCATATTGGATAAAAATGAGAAAATATAACACTATATAAAAGTGAAGACCCATTAACCCATTACCTTAAGGTTTTTGATAGAGAGTGATGTCAATCCCTTATGTGGTTAGACTTAGATTTTTCATTGGTGTTGTATCTTCCTAGAGAACCTCCTCCTCGATAGACTCAACAATAATTACCACCATCAGAACCAAGAAATAAGAAAATCCTAATCTTAACGGAAAAAATTCAAAAAATGAAAAACAATGCAAAAGAATACAAAATTGTCGACGTTGTAAAAAAGGAACGGAAAGCCTAAAGTAGAAAACAAAGACGAAAATTCAAAACAGAGGACAAAGACGAAAATTCAAAGCAGAGGACATAGACGAAAACTCAAAAGCAAAAGACAAAGACGAAAACCCATGAAGATGGAATGATAGCACGAACAGGGATAAAATGATGGTTCGACAAACAATGCTATTCCATTAACAAAGTCGGAAAACAAAGACGCAGTTTAAACCCTGAACATGAATCCGCGAAACCAAATCCTTCACAATAAGCTTTCCACGTCATTTTTTTCATTTAAAAAATCTTAGAAACTAAAGCAATAACATGTCAGTGTAAAAAAGTTGTAAGAGAAGAATGTCAATATATCATTACCCTTTCTTTTAACCTTTCTACTTACAGAATCCGAAAGTTATTCCAATTCAAATTATGCAATTTGTGCGTCATTTTTTTCCCTTAAAAACAAACTTTTCGATTACCCGTCCGAAAGTAAAAAATGTCTTCATTTTCAGATTATATAATCTAAAACCTATTTTCCTAATTTCAAATTGTATAATTCAAAAAGTTACTTTTGATTTTCAGATTATATAATCCAAAAATCATTTTCTACTTCCGGATAATATAATTTGAAAAGCACAAAACAGGAAAAACAATTTATGGAAATATAGAAAGAAAAGTATGGAGGTACATGAAGAAACTATCTTTTATAAATATGTAAAAATTGAATATGAATATAAACAAGTTACATAAACCATGGATACTCACACGGCCCAACACAATTGTAACTATTGATTAAATTGGATCATTGAGTTAAATTAAACTTTTTCTTATTAGAAATGGATTAAATAACAAGTTCATACATCTCAAATCCAATAAATTTAATTTAATTATAAAAAAACGAATTATTGAATCATTCTCCCAATAACTTTCCTGCATTTGGGATCAAAATACATATTAAACAAAAGGCAATTACATGGAAGAAGCATTTTAACCCTGATGAAACATGACAAAATAGCTTTGACCAGTAGAGTATATGCTCTGGTCTTGCACAAAAAAATCTACAAGAACTACACGCAATAAAGAACAGTTTTTTTCAGCCAAAACAATTAAACTGAAGGTCATATCAAGTTATAAATAATTTAGTCAATACTCTGTAAAGCAAAGCATAGTACTGCCTCCACCCAATTGTAAAGGCAGGAAGTTTTGGCTAATAGTTTGAGGAAACACAGCAATAAAATTTGACAAATCATTCACTTCCACCAGCAGGACCCACAAGAACTCCTTGGGCAGACCCTTCTTTCCTACCGGATTCATCCTTCACCTCAGCATCGGCCTTCCTTATCCTGATTTTATATTTAGCCTCAAACTCAGTAATTTCCTTTTTCTTCTTTTCCAGTGCCTCATTAAGCCTTGCAACAACCTCTTCAAGACCATCTTTATTTCGCTGCACAGCAGGCAAGACCTCTTTGATGGTTCTCTCCACAAGCACCCCTCCAATCATTCGGTAGCATCGTCTAGATTGGTCAAGAGGCTGAATGGCATTGATGACTAACGTGTGCTCACTGACTTCCATCTCCAGTTCAGTTATTTTGGAGTAAATTTGGTTGAGCTCAGACCTCATAGAAGCATACATATTTGCAACTGCTTGTTCATTTATTGGTTCCTTGCCACCTTCTGCATTAGCCATGATTCTACACTAATGAAAATAAACTGCCTTTGAGGTAAAGAAACAGAGTGTAATTGGAATAAACACAAGTATACCAGGAAAATATTTGAAATGTTGTTAGCTTTATCTTTCTTTCAATTAAATACAATTCCTTTCTTTCAATGCTATCCAATCTATAGAGATAATACATTAAGATGCAATAACATCAACATGTTGTAGGATTGCTCTTGGACACCCTTATTTTGCTAAGGGGCGCACCTAGATGGAGCGAGAAGGGGCGTGAAGCTTGGTTGACCTTCTAGATGGTAATAAACGTGGGAGGGGGCCTTGGAGAGCAAGGGAGACTTTTGTTGACCTTCTAGATGGCTTGGCCACTCTTGGAGAGCAAGGAAGAGAGCATGGGTTGCCTAGGTTACTCTAGTTTCTAGGACATAACATTTTGTGTTTGCTAAGAGGACCCATGCCTATTTAAGGGAGCCACTAGAATAGATGTAAAAGGTTGATTAATAATGAATTTGAGACACCTTAGCGTGCTTTTGTGAGCTTTGCTCTTGTGAGAGTGTTTACTCTTGGTCTTAATGAATTTTCAAATTTAGGTAGTGAATTTTTTTAAGTTTTCTTAGGAATTAGTTCTGCAGTCAATTTTTGGTTATTCTTAGCCATTTAAAACTTGAATAGGTAGTTTCAATATGGTTTATTTTAGTGTTTTAGTGCAGCCCTTAGCTTTAACTTACTTTTAACATGATTTTGTAAGTCTTAAGTAGTGAAATTTTGATTTTTTTGTTATTTTCAAATTGTGACATGATTTTTATCTTCCATTTATCATTCAAAAGTTGTCTAGATAGTTACTTTACAGTTTCAACTAGTAGTCTAGTACAGTTCTTAGTTTTAGCACTTTTAGCCCCTTTTAGTTACTAATTTTAGGTCTTAAGTAGTCATATTTTGAGTTTTAGGTATATTTGGTAAGTTGAGTTGTTTCTTAGCTAGATTTTACCATTTTAAACTTGTTAGGACAGTTGTCTTACTTCCTTCTAGGACAGTTTAATGCACTTTTGTGTAAATAGATTAGCTACTGTTTTAGGCGTCTTATATCAATTAGAATGTGTCTAGGTAGTTTGTTTTAATTTTACCTTAGTTTTTACTTTCTTTATGTCATTTAGAATGTGTCTAGGTAGTTGTTTAGCATTTCCAAATACTAGTTTGGTTCAATTCTCAGATTTTGCATTTTTAGCCTATTGTAGTCTAGTTTACGTCTTAGATAGTCAAATTTTAAGTTTTATGCAGATTTTGGTGTTTCAGCTATTCCTTATCTTATTTTTACCAATTAAAACGTGTCTAGATGTTTTCTTTAATTTTTCCTAAGCTGATTTAGTGCAGTTTTACATTTTTGGCTAGTTTAGTAGGCTATCTTAGTTTTAGGTAGTGAATTTTTGAAGTATTCTTATAACTTAAAGTTTTGGGTAGTTTTTGAAATGATACAATCATAGCTGCATAAATTACAACAGTGCACAGTTTATGCTATTTTCTGCTAGATCTCTTGCAATTTCGGAAGTTCATAATAGGAGGAACAGGGAATATAGTTGCCTAAGGGGGACAAAGGACTTAAGAAGTACTAATGATTGCCTATAGTTTTCTTCATACATTCTAGTTATTGTTTTCTCTAATTAATGGAATAATAATATATATAGGTTTAGATTGTAAAAGATAGTTTTAAAAACAGTAAAATGAGCTTCTATGTGTGGGAATAGAAGGCCGAGAGACAGTTACCCAGTTGACGGAGCAGATGCAGAATGCAAGTTTGTAGGAATGTGAGAGACTGGAAGCTGAAAAAAAAGTTATCAACAAGTTAAAACTTAATCACATCAACTTGAATTAAGCTCAAAACCTTATCCCATTAGGTAGAGTCAGTCAGCACCATGAACCAAATAATGTCATTATTTCTATAGTGAACCATTGTGTCGACAGACAAACTCACAGAAACTGTCAAATTATTTCACAAATAAGAAAGTTAGATGATTCAAATTTCCCCTATAAACTAAAATCAACTTATGCACTTCAATTTTTTGTAGTAGTTAGATATAAAAGTTCAGGGAAAAAGTGTATTTTAGCTTATGGAAAAAACTCAAATTATTTTACCTTCTTACTTTCTTCTTAATGCAGTCATAATAATTACAGTGTAATGAGTCACGGCTCATGATCAAGCAATAAGGGCTAGAATGTATTCATAAGTGCATCATAATACCATTGATATTAAGCAAATATTGAATGGCAACAAGTTAATGGTTCAAAATCCACTTTATTTCCCTTTAAAGCATATTTTCTGGCTCACTTGCAGAATATGGATTCATAAGATGCTGATGCTGATGCATATGGAATGGTTTACGCAAATTTAAAATGCTGAATATGAATGGGAAATGCAAGGTGAACAAGTAATAAAATGGTAGGAATGAAATTCACCCAGTTGAACCTATTATTAACAGCAAAAGAAAAAAATATGACAGCATTGTGGTTCAAAGGCTACATGCAGTTTTAATGCAGATTTCAAAATGATACGCAGAAACTACCAATGCAGACCTGAACAAATCTCAAACAACTATGATGCATGGTTAAAAACCTACTAGGAACCTGTTAGGATATTTATTCTATTTTATCATCGTTATATTGTGTCAAGAATTACCCTATTTATCATTATTATATTGTGTCTAGGGTTACCTTATTTATCATTATTATATTATGTCTAGAATTACCCTATTTATCATGTAATTTTATATCAATTTATTCTTATAAATAGAAGATTATGAGAGGATCGATCAAGCCTAATTATAGAGTTTAATTCTCAAGTAAACCTATTTGGACAGTTTCAAGATCAGGAATGTGGATGCAGATTTAAATGATTCAGCAATGATACACTTGTGTTGTATGCAAAGTGAAATGAACCTAATACTTCTAATTGATGCAACATATGTAAAGATTGCATGAAAACGAGGAAAATTCAAACTAAGCCAAGCTGAATCAGAAACTACAATTGTGATTATAATGCAAGTGTTACCTACTCTGTAAATGCAAGTTATGAATGATATGTAAATTCAACTCTTAAACAGATGATGATATCCAATTATGTGCATCATGAAATGAATCAAACACAACTACCTAGACCAACAGGAATTAATATTTACAAATTGGATATCAAGACATACACAAAAACTAGAAATTAAAATGGATGCAAGCAGACCTAATATCAATACTATCAAGGTTAACCCTACTACACGATTTAAA